ATAAATCATCATGGCTGCGGTGTCAATGAATTTTTGGTGACTGACGACGGCTTCGGCTCTGGTTTCCAAAAGCGACTTAGACTCCGACTCCGTTCAGAAGTCGGCCGACTCCGACTCCGACTCCGACTCCGCAGCCCTGTGAATCACGATATTGTTTTATTTAAAAACATATTCACCAATATTCAAAATAAAATTTGGCATGGCCTACAATCGCTAACAAAGGAATGAATGAAAAAATCGTAGGTCTTAAATCTTATCACAGTAGCTTCTGGGGTAAGAAGCCCATTAGTATGTGGGCCATGAACTCTATATGGAAATGGGCAAATGCAACATGACCTCATTACCTTTGTCATATGACGTATGTATATTCTGTAAATGCCTCCGCCTTTGATCAAAGAATACCTTTGATGCGTATACTTACATCAATACCGGTGTCGCATGAATTATGCAAGCGTAGCGCGTGACTTAGTGTCATTCAAGACTCTATAATTTGCTCTGCGTGGTGATGTCTTCAGCAGATACAAGTAGATACTTTTGCATGTGTCCATTTCAAAGCCCGTTTAGCTGCACTTTCGCTATCGTGTTTTATAATATGATGATTGATGCATACATAGGGCATGTGCACTTGGTTTATGACACAATGCCACACAATGCAGTTTTCTTGCTTGATTTATGCTTCGTCTTTGTCGCAAACTATTGAACGAAGTGTTTTTTTTTATAACCGAGCTTCATCATTTTACTTTTAGTAGCGTCATAACGACATAAAATTGTTATCGGATCAACATTATTCAGTAATAAAAGAAGCCAGACAGCAAAATGTTTAACCCAACTAGTCCACATATGTGTTATAATTATTTTTAAAAGGTCATGGTATTTTGAACTCGTGTTATGTGTGCCTAAGCATATTGAGTGCATTATGTGTACGTACATATGTGTTCCTCTGTTCTTGGCAACGTAAATGGGACGCCAGCTTCGGTCTAATTATTTCTGCCGTGGCGGACTCCGCTCACCCGTCGTACGCTGTGCTCGTAATGTCATTTACTTTGCTGGCCTCGGCGTCTTTTTCAAAGCTGTCTGCTGGACGCTGTTCGGGTGTAATGTAATTGTGGCACCCGGCACGATACAAGGTCATAAAGCAGTCCGAGCACCTCGTATATTCGGAGGCTGTGGCGCGAGACTGCACATTACTGATTATCCGAAGGAGCGCGGTGAACTACAGCGCCAGCAGTGATTAGTTAACGGAACAGCTTCCTATCTCGCCGTATTTCACCCAGACCTGAGTTATGTCGCAGGGCCTGCACCAAGCCATTTTAAAGCTATCCGGTCTCAAAAGTTCAAATCTCTCCACAATGCGAAATTCCTTCCCCTTCATCTTTTCTCCTAGGCGCTATCTACTTCCCAGCCGCTCGCTCTCTCTCTCTCTCTCTCTCTCTCTCTCTCTCTCTCTCTCTCTCTCTCTCTCTCTCTCTCTCTCTCTCTCTCTCTCTCTCTCTCTCTCTCTCTCTCTCTCTCTCTCTCTCTCTCTCTCTCTCTCTCTCTCTCTCTCTCTCTCTCTCTCTCTCTCTCTCTCTCTCTCTCCCTCTCTCTCTCTACCCTCCTTATCCACTCTCCCTGAGCACCTTCATGTCTCCCCGCTGCACTCTCGCCACCCTCCATCGCTGCGCTCATTTTCCTCCTAACGTCAAACTGTCCAGCAACTCAGCCGGCTGAGACAGCCAGTGGCCGTGGAGGCCGTTCGGCTCCTATATGGACGAGCCACCGTCGCGAGGCGCCCCCGGCGTTCGGCGTCGCTTCGGTGCCTCGCCCCCCGGCGCTCGGTGTCTGATCTGTGCGCCGCAAATCTGTGGCCTGACTCGAGTTCGACGGCGCCCTGTCCGTTGCAGCACGAACGATGCATACGTAACCACGCGACGACGAAAAGACGGATAAGATTATGGGATACGCGTTGTAGATCACTCTTCACAGCAAACTGCAAAGTTTGGAACATTGGAATATAAATGTAAAGTATCCATGACAGTTGAATAGCGACAACTCAAGAAACTCAAGATTACCAAGCGATATTTATTTTTAAATTACTTTTAAATGCACAAAGCTTTCGGTCACATACGACCTTGATCACTGTGTGAAACATTGTGAAACACAGTGATCAAGGTCGTATGTGACCGAAAGCTTTGTGTATTTAAAAGTAATTTAAAAATAAATATCGTTTGGTAATCTTGAGTTTCTTGACATTGGAATATGGAATTTGCCTGACACCAGCATGACGCATGAGGTGTCTTGTGAACATGACGAGTGTTTCGTTACCATGAAAGCTATGCTTCATGCATTAGTAATAAAAGGGGGATTTCTATTAAACAAAATTGGTTCAATTCAACTATCACATTCACATCACAGGAACTAAACAAATATGAGACCAGCATTGTATCTTCGCGGTAGTTGCCGATAACGTTGCCGCAGCACCACCCGGCGCCGGGCCTAAATAGCGCCACACATCTGCCCGGATGTAACGGCTGCTGCTCGCCTCTCTGACGTTGATAAAGGGTGGCTTTCGGACGCCGTCGGTGGCTCCGCGGACAGACCGTCCACCTTCACACGCTCAAAAGTGGTGCTCGGATGGGCGGCCGCTCCATTTTCGCCCACGGCGCAGCAAGATGATGGTGCGGCGGAGAGGGTGGTACGGCAGGGGAGGAGAGTGAAAACGCATTCATGGTGCAGTGCAGCGGTGACGGTGACTTAATAAAGCCGATGAGCACTTGAGTATTTATGCCTATACCAACTTACGTATCGCGAGCTTTGTTGCTTTAAAAAATGTTTCCGTGGTTGCATGTTATTTTACCGTTCAGTGGCGTTGCTGAAGACCCAAAATTGTTTACATAATCATCTCTTCAAGGCTTTGGAATTAAAATGTTTGGTTGGACGTTAGGAGGTTGATTCAAGTGTCTGATGGCAGCGATAAGCCATGGCCGTATTGGGTAAAGGTGCGAGACGCGCTGCTCATCAGGCTATTCGAGTTTGTAACCTGAAGAGTTGCGAGCCCAGCTCGGTATGGATTTTCCCGGTCATGCTGAGAAGGCCCTCAGAGCCTCCCCAGTATCTGTGTCTAAGAGCCCTCCCCTCCCCTCCGCGGCCGGGCCGTCTGACCTCAGTTCCGGCTAATCACCGGTGGGGTCGCCGCGAGCGGCGCGGCCCAGCGGGCGACGTCCGGTGCTCGTGACCGATGGCGCGCACCGCCTCTGGCACCTCCGCCCCTGACGAGCCGCAATGACCCGGCGCGGGGGTCACTGACCCCCCAGACCTGTCTCCGGGCCATGGTGGCAGGCTCAACAGCAGTTAGTAGCGGCCGTCTGACCACTTATGGCTGCCAAAGTGGAATTGGTTTGATGGCTGTGGTGGAGACTTGGACGGTGTTCAATCCAATTGGGGAAGTTTGGCTTCCCAGAGGAAGTAACTTCTTAGTTTACTTGTGGAATCGACAGCTAACTTTGGATATCTGGCCAGGAAACAAGAGGCTGAGACCGCGAAGGCGATGCCGGTATTCTCAGAGGAGGCAATCTGATTAAACGTGATGGAACCAAAGCAAGGCTGCGTTCAAAGCCGACCCGAGGATTTAATTGAAAGGTCAGTGAGGTCTATTTCGGCTTCGGCTGCCGGTTCGTTCGGCTTCGGCGGCGTATGGTATAGGCCAGGTGGAGGAGACGCTTTTAATTAGCGCTCGCTTAATTGGGGTACGCTTTAAATGTCACCCAAGTAGGAGGTCCTGCTAGTTTAGGATTGATATTCACCATTGTGTCATATGCCAGTTAATCATATTGAACATGAGCACTAACAAGACGTAAAGGAAAGTTTGAAAATAGGAGGAAAGTTTTAAAAGTTATCTGAATACCTAACAATGCCTATGCAATATGCATGGCTTTTGCAAAAGTGCTGCGTCGATTTTGCTAGCAATTGACTGGTGACGATTTGTTCGTTATGAAGAATATGTAAACAGCTTGAAGCATGAACATTGGGTAGTGATTCACTAATTTCCTGTTTCAGCGTTTAGTCAACACTGTGCCACATCTTATTAACTGCGTGTCGTCATGTAACATACAATGCAATCACAGGTCATTGCACGCCCCAGACTCGCCACCAATGACAGCGCACCTCATCAAACACCGAAATTCATTTCCCGAAACAATTTTCGCACGCTATTCCACAAACGAGCACCGGCCGCATAGAACGACCTCCATCCAGGAGGTCGCCCAAATGAGGTCCTCGCTCATCACCATTGAGGCCAGTGCGGCAGAGCACCGTCGCTGCGCCACAATGGGCGCCACTGCGTGACAACTGTGCCGCCGCTCAGTGTCGCCGAGCTATATTGCCGTCCATTTGTTTACCCGCCGGTCGTGGTATGGGTGCGCCCGTGCTGCCGATGGCGACATTACTTACCGGTGGTGGCAGCGACACCGCCGCCGTCGCCTACCGACGTCGGGCTGCTTTGGCCGCTGATTTGATCACGGAAATGCATGGCGGGAGATCGGAGTAAGGACGAGCGGGGCGGAAAGATCAGACATTGCGACGTCAGTCTTGTGATTTCTTGGGCAGATTACGTTAGGATATTGTGAGTTTTTATGCCCAACTTATCGCTACTTTAGCTTATTGCTTTGTTGTCTGAAGGGATAAATGTTTATTTCAGTAGTGTTCAATTGAGCTCTGAGTAATGTTTGTAACTACATTCTGCAGAATAAGAACCTAACTAAACACAAGCTTTCTGGAAGTGTTCTTAGCATTAGTAGTTTCTACTGTCCGTAAGAGCTGTCCAAGTTGCTCGACGTAATTTGGCTCTCCATTCGGCCCTGCAGCTGGCCTCCTCTCACCACAGGTCTTACCACCTCACTTTCCCACACCTCTCCCCACAGGGAATACAACCATCGCCCCAGCTCACTATATCTTCCCCCTCCTTCCCTAGGTCACCCATAACCTCAACTCACCTATACATGATCTGCCCCTTCCGCCCCCAGGGAGACACCTGCTGCTGGATCTGTGACCGGTGCGAGCCGTACGAGTACGTGCTGGACGAGCACACGTGCCGGGACTGCGGCCACGGCAGCTGGCCGTACGATGACAAGCTCTCCTGCTACCAGCTGGAGGTGCAGTATATGAAGTGGAGCTCGCCTCTCTCTGTCGGCCCCATCGTCATCGCCGTGCTAGGTACGGACTGCAGGCGCTCTGCAGCGCGCGCGGAGGCGTGATTACAGCCGTACGACGGCCGACTGATTTACCCATCTGTCCTGCAGACGAGCCCGCCTCTATTTCTGTGACTATAATGGCAAATTATTCACTGATAACGACCGTTAACGTCGTCTCCTCAATGCATGCTTTATGTGTGTAGCGCAGGGCATATGCCGGGGCAATCGGCCGGTGTGTTTTCTTAACAACAATGATGGACGCAGGTTTCCATTATTTGTGGATAATCACAAGCAATGGGCAAAGCAAATAAGCTTGCAGTTTTGTTTTTCGTAAAAGCATCCTATTGCACTTGTGTGCATTATCAGGGTAATAGTAGCTCGTAGGCGTTCGTATCTATGACACACATAGGTACATACCATTTATTTTGCACTGCACATTGTACAGTGCACACCTATGGCAATCGTTGAAATAGGTATCAAACTCCCTTATCGATCGATGAAAATGCAATCTGAATTTGTGTGTGGCATTTGTGTTTCTACACTTCTCACTCATCTTTTTATATACTTTTGAGTTTATCTTTATCGAACTCAAAGTGCTTGCATGCATGAAGTTGAGGTTTTGGATTCAAATTCAGTACGTCAGTTGTGGCAAACGGCTTTACCGTTGCGACTACATTTTCATCGTAAGCGTGATTGGCCCCGTTCTTTTCCTCAATTTTTCAACAATAGGTATACGGTATCTTCTATGACGTCGGTAGTGATCTGCGATAATGTTGAGTGTTTTTTTTTTGTGACGCTGCTGATTTCAGGACAGAGATAATGCTTCCTGTCACGTGCCTTGAAATGTGCTGCCTCTCGGTCAGATATCCGTTGGTACAAACCTCTGATAAAAAACATCGCTAGGAATATCAGTCGTCCGCTGGTCTTATCTGTCGCTCACCAAATTCCTCTCCCGATTGCAAACTTCAGAATCCATCTAACTCCATCAAATGGAATTGTAGCTCTACAGACGTTCTCAGTCGTGCCCGTCCATTTCTGATGAGGGCGGCCGGCTCAAATACTGCAGACAAACGACAAACACGCGTGCCTCCGCTGTTTGCGCAGGGATTCTGCTGACGCTGCTAGTGATAGCGCTGTTCCTGCGGCACGACGACACACCGATCGTGAAGGCGTCTGGCCGCGAGCTGAGCTACATGCTGCTGGCCGGCATCCTCATCTGCTACCTCAACACGTTCCTGCTGCTCACCAAACCGAGCGCCGTGGCGTGCGCCCTGCAGCGCGTCGGCATCGGGCTGGGCTTCTCGTTCATCTACGGCGCTCTCTTTACCAAGACCAACCGAATCTCCCGCATCTTCTACTCGGCGTCGCGCTCGGCGAAGCGACCGAGCTGTATCAGCCCGCGGTCTCAGATTGTGATCGCCACGCTGCTTATCAGCGTCCAGCTGCTGGGTACGCTGGCCTGGTTGGTGGTGGAGCCTCCCGGCGTGCGCTCCTACTATCCGGACCGCAGCGAGGTCATCCTCAAGTGCCGCATCAAGGACTCGTCGTTCCTGGTGTCGCTCGTCTACAACATGGTGCTGATCGTCGTGTGCACCGTGTACGCCGTCAAGGCGCGCAAGGTGCCCGAGAACTTCAACGAGACCAAGTTTATCGCCTTCACCATGTACACGACATGCATCATCTGGCTGGCGTTCGTGCCCATCTACTTCGGCACGGGGAACTCGTTCGAGGTGAGTCATGACACAACCGACACTTCGGGGTTTTTGTCATGACAGGTCAGTAATTAGCTATAAATATGTAATGCAATATCCCTCGCGACCATGTGAAATGTGTATGCATGAACACAAATGCTTTACGTGGCACCCTGGCCCACAGCTATTCAATCAGGATATTATATGTAGTAATTTTGAATTCGCTCATTTTAACCCGCGCACCGACGGGGGTCTGCGCCAACTTCGCACCGACGGGTGGGGGCGGATGACCGCCCCCCTGAGATCTCGAGAACGAAGCAAGATAGCGACAAGCGGTAAACGGCATCGGATACGCACGGCCAAGATCTACAATTTTTACAAAGGTCGTTTTCAGGTCAGGTCAAAGATGACGTCACAGGGGTCGAAAAAGTCAAAATGGCGGCGCTAGATATGGAGAGAGTTTTTCTCGAATAACTTTCGAATTAGTCAAGATAGGAACAAACTAAGGGCATCATCGTGATCCTCTCTACAATCCGCATCGAATGATATATATGTTGACCTCGAAAGGTCAAGGTCAAAGGTTGACCTCAGGTCACGTGACCTCGAGGTCATCACGTATATCATTCGATGCGTCTTGACGAGCTGAACACAATGAGACCATCTACGCGTATGTATCTTGTTCCTGTACGGAGTTATTGGCCAAAAACCTTTGGTGACCTTTGATGACGTCACATGACCTCACAGCTGCCCAACAGCAAAACAGACCTCAAGGTAGTGAAGGTTGATCGTATATGAAGTCATGTATGGTATATGGGGCCATTCCGACCCGTTTTAGTGGTAAAAACAGGGAGTTGATTTTTCCCCCATTGACTTATAATGGGGAGGTCGCGAAATTGACCTGACCTTAGGTCACCGATATCAAAATTCCGAGATATACAAATTGTAGCTACTAATGACTTGATAATATCCTGCGACTTTCAAAGGCCTCCGACATCTACTGTAGCTCTGGCACGGTGACAAAGTTGCAAAAAAGTGACTTGAGGCTGGATCATTCAAAGTGACCTGGTGACCTGACCTTAAAAGGTAGGAGGTTCAAACCTGCACACCATGTGTAAAATTGATGAGGTTATAGTCATACCAAATTTCGCGGCGCTACGCACCGTGGTTTTCCCGCTATTCGCGAAAAACCTCAGGGATATCCGCCTCCCCCCCCCGTCGGTGCGAGGGTTAAAGAAACGGCACCCAAAATTTAAATCCGCGATAAACAATTCCTAAAACATGTCACGGGCTTAACACTACCCCTGCTCGCTGCTCAGGACATCTAGCTCTCTCCCCATCATGAACTGGCGGCGGCCCAGGGGAGCGCCTGATGTCATGTCACGTGAGCAGCGCTATCTCGGTCCGTTGTTTATTGTTTCGCCGGCTCGGTGTGGTTGTCGACCGAGCGCCCATTCCGAGCCATGACGGTCCTGCGCAAACTGACGGCAGGCAGCTATTGCCATTTCAGACGGTAAATATTGGCCATAGGACCGACCACGGCCGCCGGACACCGGTCGGGGACACATAATATCCCTGCCCGCGGGCCGATTCGCCTTTCAGAATGTTGATTTCCGCAGTAATGCACCGCCAAGTCTGTAGGTAACATGTAATTTTTGTGTTTCATGGGGCTCTGGCAGGGAATGGCTATGGATTTATGACCAAATGCACCATCGATGCATACTTTGCTTTTTTGCACAAATAACAGGCATGCACGTATGTAAGCGACCAATATGCAATGCATATGCATCTTTGATAGGATGAGCCATCCGGAGTCCAATGCAGTTACAATCAAGTGAGGTTACCCACATATTGAATCAAGGAGCTGCGTTCGACCTTACACTTCGTTCACTCAGACCAGATTGGGTTTGTTCGTAGCTTGAGCTGACACATGCCTTCCCAGTTACCGCTAGGCCTATGTGTCTTCATTTTCCCCTTCTCGGCTGTGATTGCGGCGTGGCATTTCTGTCAACGTTAGTTACCTCCAACGCTGTCACGGTGTTACTGTGATTCCAAGAACGGGCTCCGTCAGTTGGTTTGCCCCTGAATTATTTGGAGTGCAGTGGAAACTATCATATGATCACGTTATCTACGCATTAGAAAATCTCTGCTGGGGATTCCATTTTAAAATCCGTTTAGTACTCTGTTCTGTTGTTGTTCACAGTCGAGATGGCGTCTCTGACTCAATGGACATGTTGCAGGTTCAAATCACCACGCTTTGCGTGGCCATCAGTTTGTCGGCGTCGGTGGCTCTCATCTGCCTGTACGCGCCAAAGATATACATCATCGTCTTCCACCCGGAGAAGAACGTGCGGAAGTTGACGATGAACAGCGCCACGTACCGGAGGGCGCTCACCAGCTCGACGGCGCAGTCCATCAACCACGGTGAGTCCGCGGTGTCAGTGATTATTCAGTCCCGGCAAACAGTTCCCGGCGCTGCCAGGCTTCTGGTTAACAATCTGTGTGTCCCGGCAAACAGCCATACCGTCTTCGGTTCAGTAAGGCAGTATCTGATAAACAGCCAGCCAGTGGCTTCGGCGCACAATTAAGGTCATGGCCATGGGTCAAGTTAGTCCCATGGGCAAACCGCCAGTAAGTCCCTTGCAGTGAGTCCTTTGGAACAGTCAGTCACAGTCACTGGACGGTTGAGTCAGTCCGCGGACTTCGAGGTGTACGATCACCGCCAGTCCCCGAACATGCAGTGGTACTCAGCTTCTCAGCCCCACGGCCAATAACACTGAGATGTGAGGTGGCATTCATGTATAACGTGCTGGGATTTCGACCACGACCGGACCTTATCCTGTGAATCACCTCCAATGAGCTCCGGCCCTCAGCGGTGCTCAGCTCAACAGATGCCATGAATCTTGGGATACGGTTAGAGATTCGCCGCATGAGGTACTTGATAGCAGTTTGGCCCTTAGTGAATTTTCCAGATCCTTAGCAATTATTTTTTGTGAAAGTAAATGAGCGGAATTAGAATGTAAGTTTTATTGTAGATGAAACCAAATGAAATAACATTTTAACCTGCTCAGTAATGATCAAAATAGCTCGTAGCGTTTGATGAAGTTGCTGTGGGAATGGCACCAGGCCATGCAACTTTTTATCATGGAGCCAAAATAGTGTGGTCAATGTCTAATAACTCGTTACATCAAATGGGATCAATTGGATAGTATACCTACAGTCTACCATCCCAACCATTAGTATATTGCACGATGACATTTTATGTGCTGTGAGTAAAACATCCTCCAATAGAACTCAATTTCCCCGTATAGAAGAGATTCCCTAACTGATTCCCCTTGGTCCCGGCGACGGATGGTATGAGTTGTCGGCTCGCCTCACTGATGCGTTGTCCCGCCGGGCGCTGAGCGGCGCTCCTGATTGTCAAAGTTGCCCCGCTCTCGGGCCCGGTCGACCTTTGGTCTGTTTGAGCGGCGGCTCTGGGTAGCCGGAGCGACATCGGTCGTCGGCACTTGTCCGCCGCCGGCCAATCCTCAGGAGACGTCCTCGGGTCGCCCGTCGACGCCCAGTGAGAAAAGTTGGTCGGCCCTCCTCTCGTCTTTGTTTGACAGCCGTCCGACCGGCAGTGGCGCCGCTCTGTTTGACATCCACCCTGTGTTTTTACTGTCCGAATCGAGTCATTTTGTCTTCGTTGGCTCGCGGTGTATAACCAATCATCCGATGGAGCGCCACCTGCGTGACATGTTTACAAATAGCTTCCTGCGCACTCAAACGTGTGATTGGGTTCCGGGAACACACTGTTCGTTCACACTTGCGAAATATTTGAAAACAAATTTCACATGTTATGGTTCTCATTCGCCATGTTCTGTTCAAGCTCTTGTTTTTCCTAATTTCGTTCCATAAAACGTTCCGTCTAATTAAAAACGTTTTGCCGTTTTGGAAGGCTGCGGACTCATAAATTCTGCATCCCGGCGTTGTTGAAGCTCATCGCTAACCATCCTTATAGACCTTTCTGGCTCGGACTGGATCAGACCAAATGATGTGCTGAACAGTGTGATCAACTCCTGCCAACTTAGGCTCTGCAGGGATTCACCTGTTGAATGCTCCTCTATTCCGGGGCGCCCGTATCTGAGCTGCCGGCAATTCATCGGGCACTTCCTGAGCATCGCGTGGGCTATAATGGTTTTACGGAGGTACTAACAGGTTTATGCTCGGACCCTATAACGGTACCTTCTGTTGTGTACATACATGAGTGTGGCGTGTGAGTCTGTGTGCCAGTGACGTCAGAGAGTTGTGTCGTGACGTCACTGGATCACGAAACTCGCGTCCATGCCACGAGTCACGATAGTTCCATGTCCCATTGCCGTAGGCCGGATCGTCACGAAATAAAGTTGCACGTTCACGCTGTTCATCGGTCTCGATTTGTGGAACTTTGGAATCTCGATGAGTGAATTGGCTCTTATTGAACTGCGGTGTGAGTAGCATGTGATGTTTTATTCTTATGACTGAGTCTGGGTAGAATGCAGAAACAGGAACAGTTTATAAAAAGTTGAAGTTGGAATAATTACTATGGTTGTTTTTATACATATGATCATTTATTTGCCATTTACTTGCCAGTAACTTATATATAGAAATGCTTGAAATGCTGCCAATTGAAGCTATCGGATTTTCATTAATCTCGCGAGCGCGAATTCGTATAAAAAGCGGACGTAAAAAGACTAACAGCTATCTAACACTGCAGCTGCTTTAACACTGCAGCGTTAGGCTCTTCTGGCTCGCTTTTCTCGCTTGATGGGCCGTATTTATCACGTGCCGATGCAAATGGGTCTTGGCAGGACCATAGCGCTGCTTAATGTAGCACTCGCTGAACACTAATTGAAACACATAATTATAAGCAAATTATGATGCTTTAACTGTCGTCAGAAATTAAATGAATGAAAATCATTACAGAGCCTGGGAATTCAGCAGCAGCGTGGTGAGAGCAATAGCAGCTGAAATTATGGAAACCGCTGCAATGGATATTTAGTTGCCGGCGATGGCTGGGCTCCGTTGAAAATTAGGACGGGACGCTGAAACAGTCCTTTAAACGCTGCTGAGAGACCCACAGGGTTGCTGGTTACGTAATATAATAGTGAAATATCAAAGAAATAATACGTTTATAGTGTGGGAATTTAGGCTGCATTCACTCCCATCATAAACGAACTGAGTCGAGTTTCATCTTCACTTTAGATCGCTGTGGGCTGTGGCTATACTATAGGAATATCAGTAAATAAAATCGAAGCTGCTAGAAAAGATTGCTTATATGCTTGGGTGAAAGAATGATCTTCATGATCTCCCATGCAGAGGTCATTTATGCACTCAGCAGCTATGCAGCTATGCAGTTTTTTCGTGCTACCTGACGTCAGCACTGTCACGTGACCTCTCCAATCCCTATTATTGTTTCGTGAGAAAATACAAAAAATGCTGAAGTAGCGCTGGAATTTAAATTATCCCAATAAAACGTCCCATGAAAAAGAACATCATGTTCCATGCTGGGCTGGTAAATGAGACGATTTAGAAATCAGTATTTTGCCATGCCGTTCTAGACCAATCAGGGGGCGAAACGACGAGCAGCCCAATAGCTCATAGCCGCCCCTCTTCGGTCGAGACGCACTATTTGGAAAACGATAAGTCCAGGGAGGGTTGATATTTCTTGATTCTTCAGAAAATAGGTAGCGCTATCTCATTGCAATAACCAGAAACTCTCAGACAACAGCTCATGTTGAGTTACGTCAGCCAAAGCTCTTCAATGGTAATGAAGCCTGACATGAAAACATGAAATACGCAATAACATGTTAAATATATATATATATATATATATATATATATATATATATATATATATATATATATATATATATATATATATATATATATATATATATATATATTTCCACCTCGAGTTTCTCGGAAATAAGTTTAGACACGCTTGTGCAATTCCTTCCATTCATGTAGAAGTTACTTCTGAACTCCCCGCAAACAAGCAAACGAACGCATTTCTTGCCGCTGAAGTTGTGAAACTCGCATGTTTTCTCCGTCTGCTGCGTTCTGTATTTCTCAGCCAACGATAATTTTCGCACACCCTCGCAAAGGCCCACAACCGCAGCGCTAATAAGTGCGCCGAACGCTTAACCTGGTTCCTCCCCTTTCATCGATCCGCCGAACTTATGTGTATTCTGACAAATGATATCTGCGCGCGACCCTTATCGGCGCCGACACTGCTCATCGGCCGCCGTCCGGGTCGCCGGGTCGGGATCCAGGAACGCCGCTGCAAAAGCAGCGCCGGGCTGCCTTTGACTGTCGGCCTGAGGCCATTCAGGTCGGGCTGACAGCGCCATTATCCGAGCGCCGACAGCCGCGGGTCGGCATCGGCTTACGGGCGCCGCGCCGCCGCCCATCGTCAGACAATCCGCCAGCCGCCCGCCGACCCATTGTCGAGCACCCGGAAACGTACTGCGGATCGCCACCGGCACGCCCCAGAGGCTCAATACTCGGCTGCACTTGGGATAGGTTAGGTACCGTGGGCGTCTGTTTTGGGAAAACGTAGAGCGGATCAGAGGCCGTGCTTCATCAGTTGATTGTAATTTATCAGACGAGTTGTATTTGTGAGAAGTAATAGAGTTGAGTAGAATACAGGAGTCGGGAAATCTTCCCGACGCAAATCTTCCCGGCGTATGACGAAAATATTTATTTAATAATGTGCTTCCACGAAGTATCCCTATTTCCTTTGGTCTTTTCTCGCCCTCGGTCTTCAAAGCCGACTTCCATCGGTGGTGGAATTGCCTCTGCGATAATTTATAATCAAAGTCAATCGGATGCTGCACGGTTCACCGCCTGCTGCAGTTATCGTCACTATACGATTCTATACGATTCTATACGATTCTACCCTGGCCTTATTGACCCCGATCGTCAAATTTGCACGTAATGCAGCCCGGTCTGGACCGCCCTATTACGATGCTATGACTGCTACAGACACTATGGAAACTGAGGACTCTTCGACCAGGTGTTGATGCGCGATACTGGCTTTGAACCTCATGACCCCCGTTACTGGATAATTCTGATGAAGATATGGCACTGTTGTCGCACTAAGTGGACAAGTAAATCTACGCCAGAATATTGACAGGGAAGGGAGCATTCATTGCCAATACATGACATTCCTGGAAGGCTGCAGTGAATTATGGACGGCAATGCTCGGCGGATTAACTGGTAGGGTTATACGGTTCCAGCAATAATAATGAAAACACAATAAATCCAATCACTGTACCAATTAACGTTGACTAGGAAACAGCGTTCGGTATATAGGCTGTGCCGCAAGGCACCGATGTCGGCCGGCGCAGCCTACAGTCCAGTTGCCGCCTGAAGCGTGGCTGCAGTGAAAGCAGTGGGCA